GCTGTCGGAATGAAATATTCTTTCTAAAACAAAAATAAAATAATGAATTATTTTTTGAAGTGGAAAAAATAAATAAATTTACAATCTTCGTATTATTTATTACAACAAAAGAAACTTTAAAATTTATTTAGAAAGATCTTATAAAGGAATCGGTCATTAATATTAAAATTACACTATTTATGTCCTCCAATGTTTTTGCCACCGATTGTATTGCTTCTAAACAGTAAGTGTAAGAATAAATTTGTGTCCAAATTTCTCCGGCTCGGGTAAAATCATCATAAATTTCTGTAACTGGTATCGTGTCTCTTTCCTGTATCGTCATTTGAAGTCTTTCTAATATTTCATTGAATTTATTTAAATAATAGCTGACATCGCCATCGATTTCTTCAATTTTGCTCCTGGGGGGCACTATTTAAAGGTAAACAAAAAGGTTTAAATGATGTCTGAAAGTACGGAATCAATTATTATAAAACATTATTTAATAATTTATATATATGAAAGATAAATATTTCTATGTTTTACTTTATGTATATATCATGTTGGAGCATTATTGTATAAATTTGTTTTAAATATTTTAAATCGTTTTCGTCAAAATCCGAAGGAAGGTTAACATCGGCCGTGTCGTTTACGTCTTTGAATAAATAGTCGAGATTTATTATATTTGGAATTACATATTGTATATCTTCTATTCTCGTTGCAATTTTATCACTCATATTAAGAATTGTTTCTTTCTGTTCTTCAATTACCATTGGCAAATTTTTTACTTTACTCAAAAATTAAAATAAAAAAAAAGAATTATAAAATGTCACTTTTTTCAACTTGAGCAGTTATAAAGTTAAGTAAAGTTTAAGTAACAATTTTTTTTTTTATACTTACTGTCCTCTATTCCTTCTCCGGCTTTATTAACGGATTTTAAAAATAGTCTTATACCAGTGACTTTTTTGCATAAGTCTTTAATCTTAACAATTTTTTGTTCTTCAGAATCATTTAAAAATGCAATTAAATGCCGGTTTTTAAAAACGCTATGAATAGCGGCTGAAAATGAGTGCTCCGTGTAAATTTATAAATAATTCTATTATTATTATTATTATTAATTAATTAATAAATGATAATTTTTAAATCTCACCCATAGTTTCTCGCATTGCTGACAAATGAGTTATAGATCCTAGATTTTGAACTACCAAAATATATGATGCTAAGCTCTTAAATAAAGCATTTGTATCTTCTTTATCCAAAAGTAAAATTTCACTTAAAAGACTTTCAGCTTTTTCCGTTTGAAGTTCTGCATATTCAGTTTTAAGTTTCGCTGCAATAGATTTTAATAATAACGCAAAGTTATAATGGAATATTTTACATGTATTTTTATCAAGTAATGGAGATAGGTGTATCAACCATTGTTTTTAAACTTATTTTTTTACTAACTCAAATTAAGATTGACTGTGCTCCAGTAAACTTGCATTCGAAGGCAATTCATTGCAGGGGTATTTTGCTTTAACTCCTCCACAATTAGCATAACTAGTTGCTGTGTTAAACTTCGCGGCATCACTTCAGATGCAGTGAATCCATTCTTCGGATTTAACAATTTCAATTTAACCTTTAAAAAATATATATAGTTTGTTTAAACATTTTCCTTTATTTATTTTCTTTTTTTAACTTGTATTAAAATTTGATTTTTACAATTCATTATTATTATTATTATTATTACCATGTAATCCGCCAATTCTAGTGAAATTTCAGATCCGCTTTGTGAACATTCAAGAACAATTTCTTTTGCTATATTTGTAATTATATTGTTTTCTCTTTCTATGTTATAATCCATATTAATTCAATTAGTAAAAATTCTTTTATAAAAATGAAAGTTTTATTTTCATAAATATTTCTGGATTTCGTTTTGAAAAGTAAATAACGTGTCAAAAGATAACCTTATTTCGACTTTTGTTCGTTTAATTTAGCGGGAAATTTTAATTACTCTATGCAATGCCAATTAGTATTAAGTATTGTTACTGACTCAAAAAATATAATACATTTATAAGTGATGATAAAATTTATCAACTAGAAAAAAATGTGAATAATTTAAACATCATTTTATTAAGTTTTATTTTTTATTTTTAGAAGGAAAATCTTCTATAAAATGTTTTATAATAGTTTTTATAATTATTTGTAGTGTCCGGATCATGGCTTATCTCGTATTCAGGACCGCCTTTTACTTTTCCGCCATGACTATTCCTCATCAAATATATTGCAGTACTTAAATTCTGTATCTGGTATCGGAGATGAATCATTAATAGAAATTGTTATAACTGGTCAGTTGATGACTGAAGAAGTACTTATTCGGCCTCATGCTGTCGTTGTTCATTCATACAAAGCTCCAACATTTTGTGATTTCTGCGGAGAAATGTTGTTTGGATTGGTTCGACAAGGGCTAAAATGTGAAGGTTTGTTAAGATAATTTTGTGTAAAATTTTAATCAAAAAACATGTTTATGTATTTATACACTTAATCATAGGTATTATTGTTTAACCTAAGTCATTTTAAAATTATCAGGTTGTGGCTTAAATTTTCACAAGCGCTGCGTCATTAAAGTGCCAAATAATTGCTCTGTATTAAATGGGCAAAAAAGAAGATCGTCTACTTTAAACGTTCCTAGAAGTACTTCAGAAACGGGTTCTACGTCTTCCTTAATTTCAGCTTCCGAAGAGTCAGGTCTTCCACCTGCACCGTCACTCGTTGCATCTAAATTTAATCGTTCACCTTCTATAGGTAATCGTTCTGGATGGTTTGAAAAAGATGTTAATAGCAAAATTAAAATTCCCCACACCTTTGCTTTACATTCTTACACCAGACCCACAATATGTGGATATTGCAAAAAGTTGCTCAAGGGTCTTTTTAAACAAGGTGTTCAGTGTAAGGATTGTCAATACAATGCTCATAAGAAATGTATAGAAAAAATTCCAAAAGATTGTCCTGGTGAAAGCACTAAAGATCAAGCCGGTAAATAATTTTTTGACTTTTGAATTGATTTGAAAAAATTAAATTTTGATTTATTTTCAATTAATTTTTGTTTTTTATTTCAAGGGGAATATCCAGACAGTGGTTTAGGAAGTGAACCAGAAAGAGAGAGTTGTAGGGACGAAATTGGAGAGGAAGATTCAGATGAATCGAATTCACCTTCCGGAACTCGAAAACTATCTATTATAGAGGCAAGCACAATTTTCAGCTGCTTTGTAATTTTATTTAATAAAAGTCTTTAGTTAAAATGGTTTAAAATAATTATTTTATTTTAGGACATGATACCGGGACACGACGATGACGTCAACGAAAGACCGAGAACTATGGTGTAAGTGTTATCATTTTTATGTTTTAAAATTTGCTTTACTTTAAAAAATAATTTAATTTAATTTTAAAAAAAAATTTTAGACCGTCGCCTAGTAATAACATTCCACTTATGAGAATAGTGCAATCAGTCAAGCATACTAAAAAAAGAGGTTCAAAAGTTTTAAAAGAGGGTTGGATGGTTCATTTTACCAACAAAGACAAAACCGTTAAAAGACATTATTGGAGACTTGATACTAAAGCTATTACATTGTTTCAAAACGATACAAGTTCAAAATATTTTAAAGAAATACCATTATCTGAGATTTTAGCTGTTGACGCTGCAAGAACTTTAGTAGGAGGTAAAATCATTTTTGTACATTTTATTTTATAAAAAAAAATTAAAATCTTAACATTTAAATTACATTACAGAGGTTATGCATTGTTTTGAATTGAGAACGACAAACGTTGATTATTATGTTGGCGAAGACGTTTCCGCTAGTAAGCAAGATGGTTCTTGTTCTATGTCTTCATCCGAAAGTGGGTTTGGTGCACATTTAGCTAAAACTTGGGAAAACACCATTAGACAAGCACTAATGCCCGTTCAAACAACTGGAAGTGAGTATTGTTTTAAATAAAATTATTTTAAATATAATTTATGTTTTAAACTTATGTTTTTATGTTATAGGAGAAAGTAATGCCACTGATACGAGTAACATCAGCGAGGACAAAATTACAGACATGAGCCAAATATATCAAATATTTCCAGACGAAGTATTAGGATCTGGACAATTTGGAATTGTTTACGGAGGAACGCATAGAAAATCCGGGCGAGCCGTCGCTATAAAAGTTATTGATAAATTGAGATTTCCAACAAAACAAGAAGCACAATTAAAAAATGAAGTAGCCATTTTACAAAATTTAAGTCATCAAGGTGTGGTGAATTTAGAGAGAATGTTTGAAACTCCGGAAAGAATATTTGTGGTCATGGAAAAATTGAAAGGAGACATGTTAGAAATGATATTGTCTTCGGAAAAGGGAAGATTGAGTGAAAGGATCACTAAGTTTTTAATTACTCAGGTATGAAAAAAAAAAAAAAAATTTTTTTAATTTTATAATAAGTTATCGAATTGGTACATTATTTTTGTTGCATACTTTTTTAGATTCTCATTGCATTAAAACATCTACATAGCAAAAATATAGTTCACTGCGATTTAAAACCGGAAAACGTTTTACTTTCGTCCGACGGTGATTTTCCTCAAGTTAAACTTTGTGATTTTGGATTTGCTAGAATTATTGGAGAAAAATCATTTAGAAGATCTGTTGTTGGGACTCCAGCTTATTTAGGTGCAATTTTTGTTTTTCTACCAAAGACGCATCGTACCTTAAAAGTTTTTGTCAGATAATTTATTGGTTTTTAAATTTTAGCTCCAGAAGTTTTGAGAAATAAAGGATACAACAGATCTCTTGATATGTGGAGTGTTGGCGTTATAGTTTACGTTTCTTTAAGCGGAACATTTCCGTTTAACGAAGATGAAGATATAAATGATCAAATTCAAAATGCTGCTTTTATGTATCCCCCTAATCCTTGGAAAGAAATATCAGGCGACGGTAAATTTACATTTTTTTTTTTTTTTTTTTCTGTGCAGAAAAAAAAATTATTATTCCATAATGAAATATTTAAAAAAAAAAATTTTTTTTTACAGCTATTGATTTAATTAGCAATTTACTACAAGTTAAACAGAGGAAAAGATACACCGTCGATAAAACATTAGCTCATATTTGGTTGCAGGTTTGTAAAAACATGTAGTACGAAACATTTAAGTTTTCTAACAAAAATGACAAACTAATGTAATGTAAATAAAAAATTTTAGGATTACCAAACTTGGTGCGATCTTCGAGAATTAGAAAAACAAATAGGAGTTCGATATTTAACACACGAATCGGATGATGCTCGGTGGGCATCATTTTTAAGAGAAAATATTTGACCGACTTCGATAAATTCAAATCAGACAAAAAAACAAGATTGGTTTTGGGTCGCCAAAACAAAATTTCGAAAATTAATGAGAGTATAAAAATATTGTTCATCACCGTATTTCAAACGACATTTATATTCCGCAGGTAAATTACAACTCTTAGACTAATTATTACTAAATTCTACGTAGTAATTTTTATTTTTATTCGTTAATATATTTTTTTTTTATTTATTTATTTATACGATTTAACAACGATTAACTAAATTTAACAATAATTTATTAACATCACAAATTTAAATTTTTAATGATAAATCAGTATTTTATTGTTCTGTTATTTTTATAAATTTATTTCATAATGTTTTTATTATTAATATTGTAAATTCGAAAGGGCATTATTTGCCCTCATGCACTTATTATTATTATTATTATTATTTTAAGTACTTAACGAGCGCCTGATAAAAATTAGCCTGATATCAGTAATTTAAACTCATTCAAAAAAAAAAAAAAAAATTTATAACTCTTCACGTTTGTAATTTTACATTAATTTTAATTAAAAATAATTGTAACAGGTGCCAAAAGCAAGCGCTAAAAAAAAAATTTTTTTTTGGTTGATGTTGTTGCGTTTGTTAATCATATCATTCCGTGAAAGAAAATAATAATAATATTAAAATCGTTTTATTCATAAATTTGTTTTTTTTTTTTTTTTTAAAGTAATTTTTAAATAATAATATTGCCAGAGATATTATCGAATTGTTGACTTTTTATTTTTATTTTACGAGTACTTATTTTTAAACAAAAGTATTATTAATTAATTAACGTTTTATTTCATATTATGTTTATTTGTTATTATTGTCTTTCTACCTTTATATACACCCCCAATTATTTTTATATATTTTATATATATATATATATATATATTGTTTTCAATTAAAAAATTATATACTCAAATAAACAAAAGTAATTTAAAAAAAAAAAAAAAATTTCAATTAAAAAAATTTGTTTTGTTTTTTTTTTTTTTTTTTCTTTTATTAGGAATAATTTTTTTAAAAAAAATTTAAAAACAGCAAAACATTCCTAAAAATTTAAATAATTATATAATTATATATATTAATTAACTAATTTATTTAAAAAAAAAAAAAAAAAAAATTAACTTAGTTTATAGAATAATTGTTTTTACAAAACAAAAAACGTTTTAATGCATTTATATTATATATATTATTGTTTTTAATAAGTATTATATTTGTTATTTTATTAATTAATAAATAAAATTAATGATATTAAATAGGAAAAATGAATCAAATCAGATAAAAGGAAAACTTTGTAATAATTAATTTGAACAAATTTTGTTTTATTTTAAGTTAATATGGAAAGAGATAAGGAAAACAAAAAAAAAGTATTATTATTATTTAAATTTTTTTATTTTATTAAAAGTTTATTAATGTGTCAAATTAAACGATTTGATAATAATAATAATAATAATTGTTTAAATATTAAAAAAAACAAATTTGATGAATTTATAATTTTTTCAAATAGAAAACAAAATGTCGGCTGTGGCACATAATAATAATGTGATTTTAATCAATTCTCAATAATCAGACATTTATATTTATTATTATTATTATTATTATAAACTCGTTACGATATTAAATTAAAAAATAAATTGCCGTGAAAACAATCAAAAATTTTTAAATAATTTCACTTTCTGCCATTTTTTTTTTTTTTTTTAATTTAAATAAGTGTCAACTTATATTATTAATTATATTTATTAAATATAAGGATATTTAATTTTTGATTATTTTAAATCTTAAGTGTTAGTAAATTCACGTAATGATGATAATAATAATAACGAATTTTTTTTTTTTTTTAAATAATTTTAATAACAACATTTTTATTTTGTTTTTATTGAAAATCATCATCATCATCATCACTTATACATTAAACTCATGTAAATTTTTTAATTTTGTTAAATAATAATATGAAGAATTTTTTATTATACTTTATTATTATTATTATTATTAATAATAATATATACGAATTTTAAACAATTTTTTTTTGTTTTATTTATTAAAAAAAGTTTTTAAAGCTGAATAAAATTAATTGCTTGAGTTATTAGAATTTTTTTTTTTTTAAATTTTTTAAATAGAGCTTAAACGAATGTTTTTTGCATAGGATAATTGTTTTAAAATTTTTTTGCTTTTATATAAATATATTTATATATATATATAAATTAAAATAATAATGATAAATGAAAATTATTTTGTTTTTTTTTGTGAATGTTTTAATGGATAAATAAATGTGAAATGTAATTTATATATATATTTAAATGTTTTAACATATTATATTTGCAATATTTTGTTTTTTTTTTTTTTTCATTGTTAAGGTTGATTTTAATGTTATATTTAATTATTATTATTATTATGTATTAAATCAAAATGTTAAAAAATGCCTTTTATTATTCTATATTATTAATTATAATAATAATAATAATCATAAAATCGTACGTGTGATTGCCTTTTTTTTGTTATGTTGTAGAAATAAAAACTTATTGTAAAAAATATAACTTTTCTTGGCAAGATCCTTGTGTAACTTTCCACAGCCCCCCTCCCCTCCCCCCCCGAAATAAAGGTTTTATTATGAAATGATTTTTTGTTGTAAAAAATATTATTTCGATTACGTAATTTAAAAAAAAAAAAAAACGGCCGACAGGAATAATGTATTCAAACTTTTTGAAATTTTGTCAGAGTGGCCAACCCCGAAAAAATTAAAAAATTTTTTTTTTAACCGTTAATTATTATTTGAAATCAAAACTGATTCGATTTATTAAATAATTGACGTTTGTCTCAATAAAAGGTAAGAATAAATATTTTTCTTCAGAATTTTTTTTTGAAAGTTTATATATAAAATAAATATAAATATAAATTTTTACATAAATATTTTAATAAATGGGTATTGGAAAAATTAAAAATGGCGTAACTGATTTTTAATTTAATTCTAACTACCGAATTCATAATTTTTTATTAAATCAATTGAGTTATTTTTATTTATATATATATATATATATATATATAATGAGAAATAAAATTAAAAAAAAAAATGTTTAAAGTGTCTTTACTTTTTTTTATCAAAGGATTATCGTTTTGAATGTTTAAACAGAAAGTTTATAAAAAATAACAAGTTACTTATCTGTTAGTTATTTATCCGAGGTTTTAGTCACGGTCAAATTAAAATTGAAGATGGCGCTACTTCATGTTGTCGAGAAATAAATTTTTTTATTTTTAAGAGTAAACAGTCAGTATTGAGTTAAAATGGTTTTATTTTTAATATTTACTTTTATCAAGTAGTTTGATTAAATAATTCTAGAATCATTTTTTAATTTTTTGTTATTTAGTTTGAAAATGACATTTTTTCAATTCAATGTTCTCTTGAGGTATAGCTTCGTCTTTTTTTTTTTTTTTTTTTTTTTTTTAAGTAACGGAAAAATAAACTTATTTTTCAAAATAAATTTTTTTTTTTTTTCACTTCTGTTTAATTGTTTATTTATTAATTAGCTGATAAGAGAAATTTAGGGTAAACTCAAGTGTTTTAAATGTACCATCTGATAGGTGTAATCTATTAAATTCATGTACTTAAATTGTTTTTATGTCTTAAACTACTAATTTACACTTTGCCACATTTTTTTATAAATTTTTTTTTGTTAGTTAATGGTTTTATTTACAGGTTGAGCCATCAATCTTACAAATCTAAGCAAATTTTAAATCTTCTAGTAACAACTAATGTTATATATAGGAAAAAATTTTATTGTAAATCATCATATATTAATTCTCACAATGAAAACAAAAACAATTCTAAAAGTATTAAAAATGAGTATATTCCCAAAAAATTATTAACCTTTAGTTTATTATTAGCTTCTTCCATATTATGCTTCTATACTAAAAAACAAACAGCTTTCTCTGAACAAGCTGAAAAAAATGACGAAGAAGAAGAGGAAGAAGAAATAGTTCCAGGAAAATTTATTGATAATCTGCCTGTATATACGGAAAGTGATGTTGCTCAACATAAAACTCCTGAAACTAGAATTTGGGTAATTTTCAAAAATGGAGTTTATGATGTTACCGACTTTGTGGAACAACATCCAGGAGGAACAAAAATATTATTGGCTGCAGGGTCATCAATCGAACCCTTTTGGGCTTTGTATGCTCAACATCATACTGCTGAGGTATATGGAATGTTAGAACAGCTAAGAATTGGCAATATTAAGATTGATGAAAAAAAACTTGATGATAGTTCTTTAGATCCGTATGGTAAAGATCCTAAGAGACATCCAGTATTAAAAGCTGCATCTATCAAACCGTTTAATGCTGAACCACCATCTTCTTTATTAGTGGACAAATTCTACACTCCAAGGTGAGTATTAAATGTATTTGTCATCAAAATAAATTACTTATAATATACATGGCTAAGTCTATGTTATATCACAATAACAATTAATTTTATGATTTCAGTCCAATTTTTTATGTAAGAAACCATCTTCCAGTTCCTGAAGTTGATGTAGATCAGTTTAAATTAGAAATTAAAGGAATTGGAATAGAAGATAAATCGTTTACTCTTGATGAAATCAAAAAGTTTCCTAAATATACTATTGCTGTAACCATACAATGTGCTGGAAACAGGCGGTCTGAAATGTCTAAGATAAAACAAGTCAAAGGTTTGACCTGGGACCATGCAGCTATTGGAAATGCTACCTGGTCTGGTGCCAGACTTGTTGACGTATTAAAATCTTGTGGTTTAGATTTTAATCGTACAGATATCGAACATGTTCAATTTGAAGCTCTGGATACAGGACCAGACAAAGTAGCTTATGGTGCTTCAATACCTGCAGACAAAGCTTTTGACCCAAATGGAGATGTAATATTAGCTTATGAAATGAACAATGAAGTACTTCCTAGGGACCACGGTTATCCTCTCAGAGTTATTGTACCTGGAGTTGTGGGAGCCCGAAATGTTAAATGGCTCACTAGAATAATATTATCAGAAAAAGAAAGTGATTCACATTGGCAGCAAAACGATTACAAAGGATTTAGTCCAAGCACTGACTGGGATACTGTAGATTTCAAATCTGCTCCTGCCATTCAAGAGCTACCCATAATATCAGCTATTTGTATTCCTGCCGAGGATGAAAAAGTCGAACTTATTGACGGCTGTATTGTAGTTAAAGGTAGAATTTTACAAAAATTTCAAATTTATGTAATAATTATTATTTAATGCAACATATTCTTTAGGCTATGCTTGGTCAGGAGGTGGAAAGCGTATTGTCAGAGTTGATGTTACTTCAGATCAGGGAAAAACATGGCACGTAGCTGATTTAGAACAAATTAATGAAAAAAATAGTCGGCATTGGTCGTGGACTTTGTGGACCATACTTTTACCCGTTCCTGAAGGAGAAGAAACGGTATTTAAACCAAAACATCTTTCTAAAAATTTTAAATTCTTTATTTATTGATTTAGTTTAAAGTTTAAAGATATAATCTCTCATGTATTTTTTCTTTAAATGATGATGATTATGTTAAAAAATTTTTTTTTAGGTAGAAATCTGGGCAAAAGCTGTTGATTCAGCTTATAATACCCAACCGGAAGGAATTGAAAATATTTGGAATTTAAGAGGAGTTCTTAATAATGCGTATCATAGAATAAAAGTTCGTATAATAAGAGATGTCGAATAATAATCGTAAGTAATTATTATTATTTTTAAAATTATTGTTCGTTAACAACTTACTTATATTGTTCGTTTGTAATTTAAATTTCAGATGAAATATTACAATAAAATTATGAAAATCTACCATGAAAGAAAGAAAGAAAATATTTATTGCAATGTCGAACCAAAAAATAATAATATTTTTTATTTTGAAATGGCTGTGAAGAAAATTGGAGTATTGAAGATTTATAAGACCTTTAAAAAAAAAAAAATGATTTTCTAAAAAGGGAAATATATTATTGATTTTTTTAATTTTAATATATTTATATTTCTAATAGTAAAAGGTTGTCTGTCGTCACTAGTCGTAACGTAATATTTTGTACCTAAGAAAACGTAAAAAAAAAAACATTTTTTTTTTAATTTTACATTTTTTGGTAAATAAATGAGCTTTAAAATAGAAAATTATCGAATTTAAATATTTTTTATAAATATGTCATTTTTTTATAAGGATATAGAAAATATATCATAAATAAAAGGAAAAATAATTAAACCGAAAGTAAATTTTATTTTTTTTATTTTTAAATAAAACTCATATAAAATTCTTATAAGTAAAAAAAAAAAAAATAATAATAAAAAACTATTTTTATGAATTTTGTATTAGTTCATTGCCAATGCAGTAAATAAAAAAAAAATTTTTTATGGTCGACCTTTAAAATGTGCCATTTTTATATCTTAATTTATATTATTATTATTATTATTATTGTAAATCGTAAAAATTTCGGGATAAAAATTGTTTATTTTTTTTGATATTTAATTAATAATTTTTTTTTTCTTATAAGTAAACTTGATTAATTTATGATTCCAGGTACACCGTGAGTTTTAACACCAAGGTATCTTTTCTTATATATTCCCTCTGCCTGAGTACGTCATGAGGAAATGCAACTTCCGTACATTCGTGATTGTCACCCTTAACTGGTTTTTGCCAATTAAAATCGCTGCAAAGTAAATTTGGATCCCAAGTCCTCGAAGCGATATCTTCAAACAAACGACCTTCTTTCGTTTGATCCAATATGTGTATTTTGTGCTTAAGTGGAAATGGCCATTTTAATGACTCGTCAAATTCTCCTTTTGTGATTCCAACACGTACAAAAAAATTATCTTCATTTTTCCGTGGGAAAACTCTCATGTACATTCTATATCCGCTGGGAAATATGTAAAAACTTTGACTCCGAAGGGATTTTCGTGGATTCCAACCTGAAACATCATCACAAAAATAAGTAGTAAAACCTGGAAATTTTTTTTTTTTTTTTTTTTTTTTTGGGAAAGTAAAATAAATGCTGCCAAACAATTTTCACTTTGACGTAAAAATTTTACTTGTTTTTCTTTGCCAAAATTACTTTAAAATTTTTATTACTTTCACAAAATGAAATTTTTGTACTATTATTTTTTTAATAGTTTTTACTTACTTGTTAATTTATGTGTCATGTCACCTATTTTCCAATAATAAGTAAAAACTTTTTTTGGTGGTGAATTTAAAGCAGTTTCTATGTGAATGCTACTGTTAAATTTTATTATTTCAGCATCTCTTGTACCGGAAACGGATTCATCTGACACGTCATCATTTATTCCAGAGTTTGATTTTTGATTTTTATTATTTAAATCACTGCAAAAGAATAAAGGATTATTTTAAATTTAAGTAAAAAACTCTTCTTGTTAAGAAATAAATGAGCATTATTTATTAAATAACTTGGAACTGACAAGTTAGGTAAATAATTTCCTCCATTTCCAACAGACAAACTTCCTGGGCAACTTTTGGATAAAGAACTTGATAATTTTTTTTGATTGTACACCACAGTATCACCATGTTCTTCTAATCTTTCTTCTAAATTTAATATCATATTTCGTATGTTAATTAATTGCTTAGTGATGGAACTTTCTAGATCTTGGAATTTTTCTTCCATGTCATCTGCAAAGAATAATTTTATTTAATAATCATGGAATAAAATTTTTTTTTTAGTAAAATATACTTACTAGCATTGCATAACTCTTTTAATGCTCTTGTTACAGTTGCTTGAGCTGTGGCTACTAGATTTTCAGTTGTAACTTGACATGTAGATTCAGGTGATGATTCTGTTTTCAAATTCATGACTTTTTTGTAAAAATCACTGTTCCAAGTTTCATTTTCCTTTTCCGGTACGTACTCCACGGTCAGGTTCAGAGTTGAATAGTTTTTATTAGTGAGAAATTTTCTTCTTTTTTCATTACCAATATTTTCTTGATCAACTGATTGATGTGTGGGATCAGTACCTTGTTCAATAACAGCAGGCGATTTAACTTTTTCCAATAGGACAGGTATCGTTTTTGAATTATGCTGATAAGTATCAATAGATTTATCCAATTCTTTTATTAATGAATGATCTATTCCTTGTATTTTTTTACCATTTGTAAAATCACTATTGAGAGAAAATTGCTCACTTTCAGATCGAATACCTCTACCTAAAGTTAATTTGAAGAACAAAAATAAATAAAATACATTTAAAAATTTCACTCTCATTTTAAATATCGCGTTTGCTTCCAAATTTTAAGCTTCTATGTTTTGTTTCTTACTGAAGTATAAATTCAAAATTGAAAAACTTTTTTTTTTATTATTATTATTATTATTTATTTTTTTTGGCAAACTGACAAGGTTTTGAGTTTTATAGCCTTAAAAATATTTAACGACTGTATAAAATTCTGTTGCGGGTTTAATAATTGGTTCGTGTAGAAAAAATAAACTCCCGTCTTTTTCGTCCTTAATACGCAGCCAATACATTTTTAAACTTTGTAATATTGACTTTTATCTTTTATGTCTACTACCTAAAAATAAAGTTACATCATAACGAAAAAAAAAGTGTTAAAAAAACAAAAAAAACTTTTTAAGTAATAAAATATCACTCTAAAATTTTTCAACTTAATTAAATTAACATTTAAATAAAACCATAAAAGTGTTGACTGAATATTAATTTATATTTATTAGAATTATTTCAAGTTTTTAAAATTTTTTATTCTAATAAGAACGAATATGAATTCAAACGGAAGCGGATTTTTAAAATCATTTTATTTTAAAAGTCATTATCTATTACGTCTAGTTCCACGACTAAACTTGAATGCTTAATTTACAGAATTTATTTAGATCTTAAAATAATTACAAATAAAAAAAAAAATGGTGTTAGAAAGTACTATGATTTGGTGAGTTCAAAAAAAATTTTCATTTTTTAATCTATTTTTGAATTGTTTCACGAAATGATAAATTGAGGATATTTTTGTTCTGATTTTTGTGGAATATTGAAGTATGACACAGCATTTAAATAAAATAAAAAAAAAATTACATCTTATTGTTTTTGAAAGCTGTTTATGAGAATTTTTTTTTTTTTTTTTTAATTTTATTTTTAAATTTTGTTGAATTTTCTTTTGCAGTGTTGACAATAGTGATTTTATGAGAAATGGTGATTTTATACCGACCAGACTACAAGCTCAACAAGAAGCAGTCAATTTAGTCTGCCATTCTAAAACTCGCTCGAATCCAGAAAATAATGTTGGGCTTTTAACACTTTCTAACAGGTATGATAAAATTTTAATTTATTTATAGCTTTTTATTAATTTAACCATATTGTATAAACAAAAAATTAAATTTAATAAATTTCTTTTAGTGTTGAAGTTTTAGCAACTTTAACCTCAGATGTGGGACGTATTATTTCCAAACTTCATGGGGTACAACCCAATGGAAACATTAATTTGCTTACTGGGATTAGAATCGCTCATGTAAGTATTATTTATATACAAGTATATAAAATTTTTAAAAGTATTGAAATTAAATTATATTTTTACACATAATTAAAGGAAAAAGAAATAAATTAAGAGTGATTATTTTTTTTTTTTGTTTAATTTTAGTTAGCTTTGAAACATAGACAAGGGAAAAATCATAAAATGAGAATAGTTGTATTTGTCGGAAGTCCAATATATGTTGAAGAGAAAGAAATGATAAAATTAGCCAAAAGACTTAAAAAGGAAAAGGTTTGTGTCGATATCGTCAGCTTCGGAGAAGAGGTGAGTTATTAATTATAAATATTAAGAGGTTTCATTTTTAATTGTAATGAAAACTGAATTTTGAATTAATTATACCACAAAAATTTAATTTTTTTTTCAGGCTGTGAATAATGAAATTCTCATAAGCTTTATCAATACATTAAATGGAAAAGAAGGGAGCACAAGTCATTTAGTAACAGTTCCTCCTGGTCCTCATTTGTCTGATGCTTTGATCTCTTCTCCAGTTATTCAGGGAGAAGATGGAGCTGGTGGAGCTGGTCTTGGAGGTTCAGGATTTGAATTTGGTGTTGATCCAAATGAAGATCCTGAGTTGGCCCTGGTATTTTTTTTTTTTTTTAATACTTGCAGTCTATGATGGCATATTAATATATAAAAAAATACTTTTATAATTTTTATTTTGACTAAAAAATTGATTTTTTGTTGTAGGCTCTAAGAGTTTCTATGGAAGAACAACGTCAACGTCAAGAAGAGGAGGCACGAAGAAATCAAGCTGGCACACCTCAAGTACGAGAAAGACCTCCTGCTGTAGAAGAAGGTATAAAATTTTAATTTTTTTTTGGAGAAATTGTTCATTTTTGTTTTTAATTATTTTTTTTACTAACAAAAATTATTTTATTTTCATTCTTGGTTCATTGTATTAGCTCCAAATGAAGAAATTATGTTGAAAAGAGCTTTAGCAATGTCTATGGAAACAGAAGAAACTTCCCCAGCCCCAGTTCCAGATTTTGAAAATATGACTGAAGAAGAACAAATTATTTTTGCCATGCAAATGTCAATGCAAGATGCTAGTAAGTAAAATAAGTAAAAAGAAAATTTCTTTTTGTTATTTTATTCCAAATATTTTATGCTTTTTAAATGCGTAATTTTTCAGATGAAGATGATAAAGAAGGTAAAAATGAAGAAACTAACATGGAAGTGGATGGAGAAGGTGATTTGGCTGAAGTTATGCAAGATCCTGAATTCATAGCTAGTGTTTTAGAAACCCTTCCAGGAGTGGATCCGAATGATCCCAACGTCAGACAACTTCTTGCTAACATATCTAAAGACAAACTTGATGATAAAAATAACACTGAAGAAAAGGATGATGAAAAAAAATAATTTAAATAATTTTTTAAATAATTTGAATTTATATTATTCTTATTTAACATTACTTGTTTTCTTTTTTAATTATAATATTTTAAAATTTTTTCATTTATAAAATTTGTTTACACCCGAAAAATAATTTGATTTTTATTTATGCTTAGTATAAATTTTTAGAAATGAAAAAAAACTTCATTTGTGTATTATTTAAGAATTGAAAGGCAAAATAATTATGACTTACAAAATATAATATAATTTACTACAAAGTAATTTGAGCATTTGTATAGTTTCCTTAAATAATAAAAAAGTACAAGTTAAAAACTTGTAAAATTCATGTCAATTTATACATATTTTAATAAATCATATGTATAAATTTTAAATCGAAGTTATCGTTACTGTTGAAAAATACAAATAATTAAAATCTTTTGTTGCAAGTAGAGTTTTTCTTGCTTATGATAATTTGCTATGGTAAGTCTTTATAAATTAAAAGAATGTAAAAAATACATTTCATGACTTTTTTCTATGTACAAAAAGGTAATAATTAGTTAACTATTTTGACCTTTTTTCGAAAAAGTGCAAATTTTTTCTTTTCAGGTTTTAAGATGCCAGTAAAATATTTATAAAACCATGAAGAAAAATCTCCTGTTAACAACTTAATGACTTAAAATGCCAACAAAGCATTAAAACACAGGAGCATAACGGTAAGTAATTTTGAAACTTTTTTTTCTTTTAATAAACTTTTAATTCAATAACACTCATTTATAACATTTCAAATTTTTTTTTTTTTAAATTACAAACTCTTGAATTAGTAATCTGGTTTGAACAGCTAACTCACACCATCATTTTTTATATATACTTTTGCAGATTTTATAATCGGCAAATTATCACTTTTTGAAATAGTTAACAAGCATTCATCGCTGCAATCTTTTTTTTTCACTATAATCCTAGTATTTGGTACATGAGTCCAAAATTTTCCTAATGCAGGTTTTTCTATTTTCCTATTATTTAAAATTTCATCACTTTCACTTTCATTTTCACATAAGCTATTACTATTTATCCACGAAGTAAGAAAATTAGTGATAAGTATTACTAGTTGATATTCGAAAGCTAGAAATTTTATTACGCTTGCAACATCATTTAAAAATTCTAATCCTTTTGAAATAACTTGATGTAATTGAAAAAGTGATGAAATTGAGTCTATAATAATTATTTTAAAACCTAAGTATTTTTCTTTAGAATTTGAAAAAGCCACTTTTAAATGATGAAGATCATTTAAAAGTTTATAGGGTGTAGTAGAATGACAAATTTCTATCTTTTCTAAAACTTTATTTTTATTTAAATTTTTTTCATAGTTTAATATTTGGTTTAATCTATTAATTGAAATATCATATTTTGTGTCAAAAAATAACACTTTGTGTGGAGTCCTGGAGCAAATTTTTATAGCAGTTGTCATACATATTTGTGTTTTTCCACAACCTTCGTACCCACATAATTCATAAATATTTCCTAAAAAAAAAAAAGAGATAAAACATCAAGAAATTATTATGGATTCTTAATTTACCATTAATCTTTTAAAAATATCATTTCACACTAATATCAAATTATCTATGGAAAAAAACAATAATAATAATTTTTTTAAATTTCATCGAATGTAAAAAAGTTTTACAGTTTTTCTTAATTGAATGTTAATTGAAAAAAAATTATGAACTAAATTTCTCTTTGTTAAGGCTAACCTGTGATAAAACCACCGTTTAACAAACCATCAAGTTTGTCTATTCCGCTACTTATGATAGCGCAATGATTTATTAAATTTTTATAATATTTGTCTCCTCGTTTTAAAGAAGAAGAATATTTGGCCAAAATTTGATCTCGTATTTTTAAAACTTGAACATATTGTAAACCGGTAATATTAGATAAAAACAAGGGCTTTTTTCTAATAAATTGTAATGACGAGTAAATATTGTTTTTTTGAAGTATATCTAATAAGTGTGTTGTCAATAACGGATGTACATCACTATTTAATCGAGACATGATTAAATTTTTTTTTTTTCTAAATATACAAAAATGAAAGTAAACAAGTACGTGGCAGTAGATTATCTTAACATCTGATTTTTTGTTATAGTTATTATCATTTTAATTTTTTTTTAAATATTTTTTTTTTCAATTTTTAATTTTTTTTTTTTTTCAAATTTTTATTTATTATTTTTTTGTTATTTATTTAAATAGTTTTTTTAATTTTTTTTTTTTTTAATTAAAAAAATTTAATTTACGGCACGTAGAAGATTTTAGATTAATATCTGTAATAAAGTTTTTACGTTTTATCCTAATTTGATATCTAATTAATCTAGGAAATGAAACTGATAATGCAATTTAGCTCATTATCAATTCTGGTGTAAGAAGTTATTAAGAAACAATGGCACTACGACGTTTTACTTTAAGTGTTATTCAGTTTAGTGTTTCTGAAGATAAATGCGACAATATTCGACGAGCCGTCGCTTTTATCAGAACGGCAGTTGCAGCCGGTTCAAAATTAGTAGCTCTTCCTGAATGTTTTAATTCACCATATGGTACCCAATATTTTAAATATTACGCCGAAGAAATTCCCAATGGAATGACAAGTACTGCTTTATCTGAAGTTGCAAAAGATTGTGGTGTTTATGTTGTTGGTGGCTCTATTCCTGAATGTGATGGAAAAAATTGGTATAACACATGTACTGTTTGGAATCCTTTTGGTGAATTAATTGCTACACACAGAAAACTTCACATGTTTGACATTGACATTCCTGGTGGTGTTCAATTTAAAGAATCAGATATTCTTACACCAGGAAAGGAATTAACCACTTTTCAGACAGAATTTTGCAAGATTGGATTAGGAATATGCTATGATTTGAGATTCGAGGAAATCGCAAGGTAGTTTTTTAATAAAATTTTTGTTTTTTTTTTTTTTCAGTCAAATAATTTAATCACAAATTATTTTTAAATGTCCAAATGCCTTTGCTTAAAGAAATAATTTCATAATTTTCAGACTTTATAGAAAACAAGGATGTGATATGATACTTTACCCTGGAGCTTTCAATATGTACACAGGTCCTTTGCACTGGGAAATCCTTCTTAGAACTAGAGCTGTCGATAATCAAGTTTTTGTTGCTGGTATTTCTCCTGCAACAGATAAATCAGCTAAGTATGTGGCCTATGGTCATTCCATGGTAGTTAGTCCCTGGGGTAAAATTTTAACCCAGGCTGAACATGAAGATGCTATATTGTATGCCCAGATAAATCTAGATGAAATTAAAGATGCTAGAAGTCAAATTCCGACTGGTGACCAAAGAAGACATGACTTGTATGAGACAATTTACAAAGCCTGTGGACACTGCTCAAATATTCCATGCAATCCAACATCTAAACATTAAATATAGTAAAACTTTTAGGTAGACTATTAGTATTTTGTTTTTTCATTTTTATTAAATAAATTTTTTTACAAAGCTGTATTTTTTTGTACAATACTGATATAACTTACCTTTTTCATTTTTTGCCACATTTATCAATGGATAAATTAAAAAATCAATGTTTTTTTTTTTCTCTTAACATTTTCCATTATTTTCAATGTTCTATAGTTTTTATCTAACCAAATAATTATATAAAATTATTTTTCTTTAGGATAACTGTAAATATTTTCTCAAAACTAGTTTTGAATAATTTTCCAAGTTCTTACAACTTTTCATTTATTTACACATTATCACTAATTCAAGGAATTTTGTTTCCAAAATTTTTGATGAAATTGGGAAATATAATAAAAAAATTGTGTTTTTTAAATATTATGGGATATAATAAAAAAAAATTTTTTAATTACAAAATAGTACAAATGATAAAATTGAAAAAAATTTCATTTTCTATTTTTATCAGTAATTGTGTATTTATCATATGTCTTTGTGGGATCATAAGGTTCCCATCTTGACGCGGGAAAAATATGTTTGTTTCTTTCATACCAGCTTCTTAATAGAACTTTACCAGCATGTGAGTCTTCTTTTTCTATAGAAGCATCACTTGTTAGCCTTACATCATCATGAACATCAAAAGTAAAAAGAGGCCCACTTTTTCCTCGAGCCTAAAAATTATATATTTGTACATTATGTGATTTTGACATTGTAAATAAAAAAATCATTTATGAAAATTATTATTAATAATATGCAAACTTTAAATTTACCTTTGTAACAATGAAATCATAAAATGTGTAATGATGAGGTAATATCAAGTCTTCTTTTACATACATTAATTGATCAGCCATAACTGTTTTTAATTCACTAAATTCTTTTCTAAGTAGTTCCAAGCAACGTTGAAGAAATTGATATATGGAATTACCTAAAAAAAAATAATTGCAAATGAATTTCTTTGTAATTATTTCAAGATTACTATCTTAAAATTTAAAACTTTTTTAACCTTTTTTCATTTTAACCGTTCGTCTGTGTCCTGAACCATCCCAGTAACTAAAAGTAATATGAATTTCTTCTTCTTTTAAAGTTGCTTGTTGCAAAGCCCATTCTTGCCTAAGTTCCTCTCTAAGCATATTTTCTTCTTCTTCTCTGTCTCTTAAAAACAAAAAAAAAACACATTATTTTTAATATCTATAAAATTTGCACAAAAAATCTTTTTTTATTTATTTTTATATATCCAATCTCAGAATAAATAAAATACCTGTCAGGTAAAAAACTTGTATCAACATCTGGATTTTTTTTAATTTTTTTAGGCTTGTGTTTTTTTTCAAATGACACATCTTTTTTCTCATCATCATCTTCATTATCTTCATCCTCTTCATCATCCTGAATACTAAATGATAAAGCTTGAATTTGTCTTTTTTGTCTGTTTTTTTCAGCTTGCTTCGCTTCCAATTCTTTTTGTTTTTCTCGTTCTTTTTCTAATTGTTTTAATGCCATTTTTTTTTCTCTTTGTTGTACAATATCTTCTTGTTTTGCTTTCATCTCATTGAGAGTCACCAAACCAATAGTGGAACTCTATAGGGAAACAAGAACTTTATAAAATGAATTTTTTTTTCCAAAAAAATTTTTTCGTACTAAACTTAGTTTACTAATTAAGTAACATTACCTTCAACTGTTGTTCGACAGCATCATAATGAGCTGCAAATTTATTTTCTATGTTTGATATTTTCAAATCTTCTTCTATTTTTTTCCTTCTATATTCTATTTCTTGTTGAGCCTTTTCTCGCTTTTTCATAAGCTGCATGGCTCTACCTGCCTCACTGGCAGCCCCTTTATAGTGAGCCATTATTTTTTTGTAAATTCAATGTGATAGCTGTAATAAGTAGAACAAATTAACTTTTAATAATAAGAAATTTTTTTAAATATTAAAATAAGTTTCGGACAACTCAATTCTAACATCAATTACAAAAAAATTTGTAACAATTGTAAATTTTTTTTTTTTTTTTTTTGAATTCATAATTACTTACCTTAATAAGTAATGAGTAGTTTAAGTGTTTACTTTTTAAGTTCAAACCATATGTAAATATCAAGGCTTTTCGTTTACATGGAAAACATTAATCGCGGAGGCTTTGATAATTAATCATAAATAAATAAACCATATACTAAAAGTAAATGTTTTCAGTTTATTTTTTTTTAGAGTGTATAGTTAGTTTTTAAACCGATGGCTAACTTCATAATTACCGGTGTAGATGACAAAGTTTTAATTACTGTTTGTTGTGCAACAGTTATTTTTATAATTAGTATTATACTCCTTTCTTCTAGATTTCAAAATTTTTTGAATCAACATATTAGATCAAGTACTGATATTAGTGAAAATCATCACAGTTTTGACAATGAAGTTTGCCCGATTTGCTTTGGCGTTCACAGATTTGCCATTGAAACAAATTGCGGTCACAAATTTTGCGGTTCTTGCGTCAGAACATACTTAACTCAGTCATCGGCATTTTTATCATTTAGTAATAGAATGTCTTGTCCACTGTGCCGGCAAGATGTCAATATATTACTCCTTTGCTTTACTTCAGAAGAAAATACTCTTATTAGTTATTTAGAAGAAAGAAATACTGTAGAAAGATTTGTTCATGAATACAATATACACTTTGGACGTGGTTCGCAAACTTGGTGGAGTTACTTGAGAGACAGTCCAGTTTTGTTAAAACACATGCTATTTGATTTTTTTACTTTTGGAGGACTAGTCCTAACATTTAGACTGAGAGTAATTATTTGCTGTTTAAGTGCAATTGTTTATTTTTTGAGCCCTTTTGATTTGTTGCCAGAAGCTGTTATTGGAGTTTTTGGTTTTATCGATGATATATTAGTTTTCGTTTTGTGTATTTCTTATGTGAGTATAATTTATCAGAGATTAATCATAAGAAGAGCTACAATTAATGTGCAGTAAAATAAAAATAGAGAAAAATTACTTAATTAAAAAATACTTAGTAATTTTATAAAATTCCAAATTGTTGGAAAATAGTACCTAGACATAACTAAAAGACTGTTTTTAATTTATTTTTATTGTAATTTAAAGAATTCTCTTAAAAAGTACTAACTAAAAACTTGTGTAGCTTAAAATTCAAAACTTTAAAATATTTGTGAATATTTTTATATTTTATGCAATATTTGATGAAAAGAGATTTATTATTTTTATGATAAATTATTTGAAAAATAAATTATTTTTATTAATATTATTTTTTTTGTAAAAAAAGGAAACAAATTAATAATTTATTAAAAGAAGAATTAAATATTTGACACATTTTATTTTTTTTTATTTTCATTTCTTAATTTTTTACTCAAATCCTAAATTTTCAGTTGGATTTTTCCATAGAGTAATTAATCATGCATCAAAAGTATTTTCTTCCGTATTGATTGATAAGTAAAAATAATTTTTTTTTTTTAATGATTAAATATTAAATATAAACTAATTTGACAGTTATTTCTTTTAAATTTTACAAGGGTTTTAAAAATCTTACTGGTTTAAAAATACTAAGTATTCGTTTAAAAAATTTAACATCTTTCAGTCATGGGTATTGAGTTAATTTCTCTATGATCTATCGTAGACAAGTTAACGATGTAATTAAGATTATTGTACATAAATTAGTAGAATTTAGTTGTAATTTTAAAAGTTGTAATATAATAATAAATTAAGAAAATTGATTTATTAAAAGTAAAAAAAGTCGAACATTTTATAAAATTGTTTTTTTTCCCGGGTTTTTTCGGTTGTAACAAATTTAATTTTTATTAAGTTAAGTCTGATGCCAAATAGATAGTGACGATGAATAAAAAAAGCAAGGAAACTTACCGTTTGAATTCCAATGAATCCGAAAAGGAATTAAATAAGGTATATTTAAAAAAATAAAAATTTTATTAAATATAAGTTAATTTATTCATTTTCAAAAAGTCAGAAAAACTCATGTCAGATTTTATTTTTTTAATAAATTTTTTAAAAAAGTACTATACTTAAGTATAAGTGTTACATAAAATTTTGTAAATTATTATTTTTTTTTTTTTTTTTAATTTTGAATAAAGAAATGGTAATAATTATTAACATACTTTAAAATACCCATAAAATTGATTGCTTTAAATTTTATGAATTATGGGTTAGCAAAAATTTTATACTCATTTATTTAATTTAAAAAAATGTGTTTTTTAGGAATTCAAAATTTCCAATAAAGTTAATCAAGAGAATAACAATGAAAATGAAAAAGAAAACAAAAATAAATCTAAATCGGAGAGTGGTGAAGAAAAAGTTGAAGTCAAATCGGTAGCAATTGTAAAACATTCTGTAATGGAAGTTCCTGCTGCATTTACTAGATTACGTTGTAATACAGATCTAAATTTACCACCCTCTAATTGGTTGTGTAATAGTGCTGAAACTTATGGTCTTCGTCCATTTTCTTTTTCTCATCGATCAGGATTTTCAAGTTTTCGAATGGCTCACATGTTTCCAGATTGTGTTGGAGAAGTAGATGTTGTTTCCGATGCTGAAAATGTCAAAAAACTTCTCAAAATCCCATATAGCCATGGCTCTGTGAGTATGATGATTCACAGAATAGAAAACACTCTTCTTATCGATGAATTTGACATTCACAAATATCTATTGAGAGAAGCTGAATGTCAATGGGAGTGGTTCAAAAAATTTTTTTTCGAAAATATTATGCAATCAAATAATTCTAAAGATAAATTAATCTGTCATAGGGATAATAGTCGTAATGCATTGCAACAAAAGAGTTTAGTATCTAAGTTTCTCTATCATAGTTTAGTAACAGCAGATTCAAGTGAACAATCTGTGGAAAAACAGAGTAAAACATCTGAAAATGTAAATCCTTCAACTCCTCTATCACTAACATGCAAAAACGATCCTCCATTACCGGACCCATCTTATGAAGAAGAGTCTCCTGAACCAAAGTCTAATCATAAATTTGCTAGAAATGTTGTATGGACTTTTGAAGATATACAAATGTTATTAGGTACGGATATGCCAATTTTCGGTGGTGGAACTCATCCGTGTATTAGTTTACGTTTACGCGATATGACTAAACCAATTAATGTTCTTACCGGTATGGATTATTGGCTGGATAACTTAATGTGCAATGTACCTGAAGTCATTATGTGTTATCATTTAAATGGCATCGTTCAAAAATATGAACTCATTAAAACTGAAGATTTGCCTAATTTGGAGAATTCAAAATTTTCCCCTAAAGTTATCAAAGATATTGCTCAAAACATATTATCATTTCTCAAAGCTAATGCTACAAAAGCCGGCCACACATACTGGTTATTCAAAGGAAAAGATGACGACGTAGTAAAATTGTATGATTTGACATCTTTATGCACCGATGTTGTCGACGAAAAAGGACAAACTCCTTTTACCGTTCCAGTAGCAATGTTACTGTACCGGGTTGCAAGAAATATGAAAAATTCGTCGGATGGTCAGAGGCAAGCAGCTACTATAAGAATGCTATTAAAAAATTGCATATCCCTTATCTCACCGGAAAAGTATCCAGAAATAGTAACATCAGCTCATTACATGCTAGCTGATCTTTACATACCGGCAGATGTTAATCCAGTGTCTCCAGAGTTATTTTCAAATGAGGAAAATGTTGACGAAAAGGCCAAAGACAATGTTCGACGCATGAATGACACGATGAAAGAAGACGTTGCTATAAAATCTATGAGCCTAGCAAATATTTGCGAAATACACATGGACGAAACTGAATTTATTTCTCCAGCTCCTCCTTTAGGATTAGATCTTGAGGGAAGATGCGTTGATGGAATCAGAAACGTTCTTCTAGGTTTAAACGCTCTAAAATTTTTAAATGAGAAAAAAGATGATAATGCCAAAAATGATGATGAACCGAACATGGCAAAACCTTTTCAAACGATTCCAATGCCTTATCAGCTTTGGATAATGAAGTCGAAGATGATGATGGTAAACAATCTGGAAAGAAAAAAATGAAAAAGAAGAAAAAAAACAACAAGTACCCGGAGGAATCATCGAAGACTTTACTTTGCAAACCGAAATCGGAAACCTATCCTACCTGGCATCCTCCAATCACCAAAAGCTCTTCATCCTGGAAAATTTATTTAAAAACTTTACTATATGAAAAAATTTCTCTAATATATGCCACACTAATGGAAAAAGCTTATTCTGATAAAAAATTCGGTCTCGCTTTGCTTTATATTAAATTGGTATTGACGGCTAGAAATATATTGAAGTCTTTAACAGTTGAAATATACAACGCGGACGTGGAAAGTTACTTACTGGGGCGTGCTGGAGATTCTTTATTTATGGTCGTGCAAAATTTCCAGAAAAATAAATCCTACGACGAAGAATATATGACATTTTCAGATTTCGTCGAAGAAACACTGAAGGAATTTCAATGTGAAAAATGCGATGATTCCTTCGAAAAAAATTTCCCTCAAAATTTAAATAATTTGGAAGATTTATTAATTTCCAGCAGTTGTTGTTATCGTGCAGCTTTAGATTTGAAAGCGACCGTCGACGAAGAAAATCTATTGAGAAGATTGGGAAACATAGAAAACGAATTGGGAGTTTTTTACATGAATCAAGCTGCTGGTAATGTTCTACCAATTATTATTATTATTATTATTTTCGCTGCTGGATAAAAATATTTTAATTATTATTTTTTTGTTTTAGCAAAATATCAAGAAGAAATTAATTCTAACGAGAAAGAAATTCAGTGTCGGGCATTCGAAGAATTATTTTCCAAATCTCAAAAACATTTGGAAAATGGAATCAAAGCTTTCGACAGCGTGAAAGACGAAGCCAATTTGGCTTTGCTATATTCTAACACGGGTCGTCTCATGAGAGTTCAAGCACATTTTTTTTCAATGACGGAAGTCGAAGGAAAACTCACGACTCAGGAAAAAAGCTTTTATAAAAAATCAATATTTAATTATCAGAAAGCTTTGCAAATATTGGGTGATAGAAAATACAATCCTCCGGTTTGGGATTCCGTTCACTGGGAATTGTCTACGGCTCTTTTTGCCATGGCCACACTCATTCAAGATTATCCGTGCCTTAAAAACAAGGAAGAGACCGAAAGAGAAATCATCGAGACTTTACACAAAGCATTAAAATACTGCGACGTGGACACTCCAGGTTCCAGGCAACCCGTGTATCAGTATAGAAGTGCGATGATACATCATCGATTAGCTTCTCTTTATCATAAAAGTTATAGGTGAGTCGTTATCACTCGAATAAAGTTTTTTTTTTTGGAACGTTTTTTATTAGGACTTTGGATAAATTTTTTCCAGGACGTCGTTGGAGGACGAAGTTAAAAAGAAAAAAATTTATCAACTTTGCAAACTTCATTATCAGAAATCGACGAAATTGTTGCTTCAGTTAGAAAATTCATCCGAGTATTTAAGAGTACAATTAGAAAAAGTGGCACTAGCCGAATTCCAGGCGGAAAGTAAGTCGATTAATTATCACAATCCAGGAGAAATGTTAATAATAATAATAATTTTTTCTTAATTTTTTATAGATTCTTCCAGTGTAAGTTTAAAAGTAAAATATTTCGAAAACGCATTGGAATTATTATTGGAGGCTTCGTCCATGTTGAAAATAATATCGGAAAGAAATGTTAAATTTTACGATTCGGAAGAAGAGGAAAATGTGGAAAATTCGAAAGAAGAAGACAGGAACAACAAGAAAACTTCGGAAGAATCGGAAAACGAATTAGTTTTACTTAATTTTTTCGAACAAAGATTACAATACATTCTATTATCATTAACGAAATTAATTAAAAATCGAACGGATTTAAAAAAAGGGTAAAAATATTAATAAAAATGGCGCCGCCGACACTCAATTCACTTATCGATATTTTACATAATTATTATTATTATTATTTTCAGATGTTGTAATCCCGGGGATGTATATAAAAAATTATACGAAATGACTCTTCGATTTAATTTTAATAAAACGAATCCGGTGGAACTTGCCAAATCCCTTCTCGTAGTCGTTACAAAAATATCCGAAAATGTTATTAACGAAAACATGATAACATCGACGAGTTGAATAAAAAAATTTTTTTTAATAAAAATTATATTTATTAATAATAGTAAATTTATTTACATAATTTATTTACATATATATAAAAAATCAATTTTTAATCGAAAATAAGGTGAGGAGTAGGAGGAGTAGGAGTAAGAGGAGGGGAAGAAATTTTTACATATTTAATAAGGATTTTTTCTACAAAATTGTTTTTTTTTTTTTTTTGTTTATAAAATAAATAAATAATGATAATAAATAAATAATAAATAATAAAGAAAAAAAGAAAACATTTTTTTATTTATTTAATGCTTAAAAAAATTATTATTTATTATAAACAAATGGACACATATTAACATTGAATAATAATAATAATAAATACAAGAAATTAATATATATTATGTATGATAATTTAATAATGTCAATTTATTATTAAAATGTAAATGATTAAGTGTGTGGAACCCCCAAAAAAAATAAATTGAATAACATTCACAAAAAATCAATTAAAATAAAACACATACGATTGGGGAGGTTATGTAAAAAAAATTATTATTATTATTATTATTATT